AGGAAATTCCTTCAGCATGACCCATACCGCGGACAGGACTTAGGCACACACATACATATATATCTGTCTTATTCGTGTTTGTGCCTGATTCCAAGTACCCAATAAAGCAGCATAATCAGGGAAGACTATATTGCCTGCCACCGGGTCAGGACTTGGCACTGACAGAGAAGGCGACTGCGCACTTTATCTTTGGCAGTTCTGCGGGTCGGAGTCAACACAGCACCAAAGTTCAGGAGTTAAGTGCCCGAATGCTACAGAGGGCATGTGGTACATATTTGGTCCTTCATATGCAGTTGCACTTTGGTTGCCACGAGTACACGAAAAGAAAAAAGGTCGTTGTGTGCTTGTTTGACAAATACTTTGCAACTTTCTACTTCGGAGATCGAGCAGTATTGGGCAATCTTTCAATGCTTCTGAGTCATCGAGAAACCACATTCATACTTCGGGTTGGGGGAGGGAGTAATTTATATTCGAAATATTTAGGTTCTTACTGTGCACAGCTCACGACATTCGTCTCCTCTAGCGCATACTTGTAGACTTCATTTCTCAAACTGTTCAAAATACAAAAGGCAGTTCGAGTAGTGGTATTTGCTTGAAGGGGAAGGAATACTTAAACAGGATACTTTTGACTACAGTTGGTGGATATACTATTTCCTATTATCTTCTAGCTTTCAGCTACGCAACTATCTTCGGTCAGGTTACCACCATCTTCCAGGGAATGTACGCTGCACGCTCTCGATACCATGACATGATGGGCTCTGTGAAAGACTTTATCAAGACTCACAACGTGCCTCAGGATCTAGCAGAACGCGTAATTGACTACGTCACCTCAACCTGGGCCATCACAAAGGGCATTGACACGGCAAAGGTAGATTTTCGCCAAGTTATTTATACATTCTCTGCTCCTTTCCAGCTTACAGTTATTATCATTTATGACGTGCCGACAGTTTACTCAAACAAACGAGTGGTTGTGTTTTAAGAGATGTTGAGGCCAGCTGCTTTCATCAATTTATCATGAGCAGTTAAGCAATGAGAAGATCCTGGTCAGTTTATATTTTAAGGCACATTTCCTGTAGTATAACTACACACACATTTGATAGTTTACGACCCCAACGTATATCGCCGTTTATATTGGCCAAAAGTACTCGATCTGCCGTCTAACTGGCCACTGCCCTTTACCATAGAAAGGATCTTGGTGTAGAAATGGTGTCTTCCCCCGTGTCGGTTAAAGGCATGCCTTTATTTCGAAATTCAGTTTAAATAAGTTTCCTAATGCAGACAGAATCAAATTGCCGGGTATAGGTTCAAGTTACATTAGCTGTCATCCTCTTCCGGCAGTTCTTTGAGTTTGTATAGATCAGGGTTGACATCGAGAATAGGAAATCAGCCGGTAATAAAAGTAGCTTTGCGCAACTTTCCAGGAAGGGTAGATGTCCACGAGTCCTAATCCTAACCCTACCTCCAACTCAAAACTTTACTCAAAACCTAATCTCTATGAAAATCAGCGCGGTGCGTCGTGAATAAGGGCGAAGTTTGTATCCGCAAGTCATGTGGGGTTGATTTAGGGGATTTAAATATGCAAACGATACATATAGACAATAACAATTTTCCTTTCCTCCGCTGAATGCTCTCCAACGTCTTAAAGGTCACATGTGTGACGGTTAAACCGTCGCCGTCGACGAGATCCACCACGGGCCCTCGGAGTAGCGCGGTGTTGATAACTTTCACGCCGATCAGGTTATTAGTAAAATAGATTTGTAGTTGCAGGCTAGTACCATTTCCTCCGCGTCACGCCAGACATGACGTCTAGTGATTGCAAGCCTCGATATATCTATTGGATGGTTTCTGACTGTGCGAAAAGCCTCATATAGTATATCGGCCTCAACTGGTTAGCCGACCTCAATCCGTCCAATTAGATCATTACTCGGCTAGCCTCAATTAATAGGTTGGCCTCAATCCATCTGGTCATTGGCTCTCAAAACCAATGCACAAGGACCGCACTGCAGTACCTGTCGTCTAACCAGCACTTCAGACAAAGCCTCCCTAGTGGATGGACGGGTGGTCCGACAGTCAAATCTCTGCCAACATATTCTCCATTCCTTATGTACAGAATATTACTGTTCCTACCACTCTATCCTCTCACCTCTTCTCCTCCTCTACCTAAGGAGCTGAGCCTGAAGATCGTAATGACAAGCCGTAACATTATTAACCTTAATTCCTCGAGAGCAATGAACAGCATTCTTGCACGCTTGATATTCATGCGCCCTGCTCCGAGAACGAAACAGCTTTAAGATGTCCGAAGGCTCGCGTTGGGACAGAAACGGGCTAGGCTAAACAGCCCGTCTACCCGGCCCCCACGTCGTGTCAAAGAAAGAACATTCCAGCTGCGTGCACACTGAAGTTTCGCACCCGTGATCGGCGATGACGAAGTGAATAATGTGCTTATTGCAGAAGAGACACGCAGTGATACGGGGGGTAGCGTGTACAGAACGTGACCTATTGCATGATACGCGCCAAGATTTACGAGTGATAGATAATCATTGGTAGACTAGTAAAAATTAGCGGTCCAAAGGTTTAAAAGAACAGTGAATGACCTCAGGGCATCCTAGAAACATAGGACAAATAGCAAAAGTAGGATTAATTTGTTTACAAATACTACATCTTTCGAAACGCGGAAATTCCGAAAGTGTCCAAAATAGGCGAGACTGAGAGAACTTAATTTTAAGATAAACAGGAAGACTTAATATGCAAAAATGAGCATGTAATTCAATAAAAGTAGAATATCGTTTGAAGGTTATTGTTCAATGGGGTCTACACTTGTATATCCTTCAATAATAAGTTTAATAACAAGTATGGTTGTAATTCATCAGCCAAAACCTAAAGTATCGATTTCAAGATGGTTTTTTTGAGAACTGACTCTATGTTTTCACTCTTTACATTGTTCGAGATGAGTTTGAGTAAGGCCAAACAGGATGCGCTTGATTTCTTCGATATGAGCGTCACAAAAATTGAGATTTTCATAAGGTCACTCATTGATAGGCCGATCACTGACTCATGAATTTAACTAAAACTGTTGGCTGTAAACGCAGAAACCCTTTCGGATATATTACCTCATTTTTTTCAGTTAACTTTCATGATGTGTTTTATTAAGAAAAGTTCTAGATCATCTGTAAAACATTGGTGAATATGTCACGAGTTTCGAAGTTTTCAGTCGATTGCCCATAAATGCAGACTCCGCAATATTTGTTTATCAACACCTTAAAAATAGAATAGTTCTTAAAATCATTTGCCGAATAAGTGACTTATTGGACATTATTTCTAATGCAGCTTGTCGTTTCAGTCATATTTTTAGACGACCACAAACATTAGATATTAGCGATGAGAAAAATGAACAAAGACATTAAAGGCTAACAATGAATAGGCCTGAGATTAATTTGAAACTTTTTTCGAACGAGTCACCCTTTTTAATAAACACTTCAGTTACACACTTCACTGAACAATATTTGCGTACTTTACTTTTGCCAAGCTCAAATAAATGTAGAAGTGTGGGCGCTTGTTCAGTTTTTTCCACTCCCCTGAGAATTACTGATTTTTTTTTCTGTTGCAACCGAAGGAGTTGCCCTTCTGTGCTACACTGGAGACTTTTTCGCTATCAATGTTTGCATTGGTTATTTTACGACTGTAAATACTTAACACACCGGCCACTGCTAATCTTTTGGCCATCATGTTTCTAAAGTACGAACTAGCGGAAAGTAGATCATACAGAAAGCATCTTATCACTTGCTTTTAAGTTGACAGTTTTTATTGAGACAGTTCGCGATAAGATACTTTTTATTCGCGAACTGTAGAAATGACTTGGAAGTTAGAACCAAGGAATGCCAGTATACCTTATAATTGGGCAGGAGAACACACAAACTCTCAAACTCTCTGAATGCTTAAATTCGATGAAACGCTTGTTTCGTTAAAGATGAATCGCTAACACTGTTAAGATACAGGATCGCAAGCAACAGGACACAGAGCCCCAGCTCAATGCCTAGGGTATTAGACTTCTCGAATGGATAAGAAAATTTCGCATTCCAGGCATTTGCAAAGGTAAAGGGGAAGCTTGTCAAACAAAGAAGCAATTGGTTCATTTTCCTGAGCTTTTAACATGTTACAGGAGTTCATCATAGAGGTAAGAACAACAGCAAAAGGAACCAATTAAAGGAGATATTCAGCAATCCCATGTCAGTGTCGCACGTCTGGAAGTGACTGCACTCACTGCGCAGGGTTCTGTTCACTGGCACTAAATCGAAACTTCAGCCGGTTGAGTTCCCATCGGGGTTTAAATCAAAGCTCGGTCCGTCTAGTTTCCGGTGTGGGCGAGTATCTTGACGGCTGCGAGGTTGAACTCATGGACAATTTCATATGTGTCAGCTACAACTAGCGGCAGTGAATCCCCCGTGGTACAGCCAGCTTATTTTCATGTATGCGCGATCCGAGCATGCGTTCAGTTTGACCTATGTAGTTACGAGGACAGCTTAAGCATGGGATATTGTATACTACATCAGATTGCTCATTGGAATTAGGCCGGTCCTTGATGTTCATCACCTTGTTGCGCATGGTAGATTTCGATCGGTGTGCAATTCCAAATGCTAGTCTGAGGTAGTGGTTCGCATCCTATACCCGTCTGCCATGGCGTGATCTAGTCTCTGCGTTTCTCCAGCCTATAAACCGAGCAGTCCGTTCAGAGGGGACTGTAAGCCTTACACTGTAGGTACGAAAATGTGAGCCCACGGTCGTCATTCTGACCGCCTTCCATGCGTTTAGCACGCCTGTATGCTTGCGTGTGACTCGCATTCGGCTCGATGATGTCGTGACGCCGATCGATACTTGTGCTTCATCGACTGGCCATAGCCGAACCAAGCTCAGACACACGGTGGGCGCCCCAGCACGAGTTTTAAAATACAGGTTCGAGTAAAGGTTCCTCCTTAACATCACCGTAGTTTATTACACATAAGTGACTAATTGTTTCGCTGTATTTGTTTATATTTATTTTAGTTTGGTTGTGAGTTTTTGAGCTTATTTTTAGTTTACTTGGTTTATTATTTAGTTTTTATTACTTTGGTGCTGTTTATGAGGAACCCTTAACCAGGACTCGCAACCGAAAAGTCAATGAGCTCCTGGCTCCACTGGTAGGACATTAGACTTCTTACCAACTGGTCGCGGTTGCGAGCTTCACAGATTACGACATCTAGGTATGGCCAGCTGATGACGGTTAATTAGTCAGAAGTGACCATCCCAGTCTCCCTCGTCTTATTTTGCCTTTTTATATGCTAGCCGATGAGCAGCTGCTGGCGACGCTTCAGCATCAACCCAAAGGCAAAGCGGGGCGAGTAAGTTCCGTAACACGATTGATGAGCGCCCCACAGGCGTTCATACGGATTACCTAGCCAACTGACCCGACTCAGCAGAATAATGGTAGCTCCTTTCTGCTGACCCATGTGTATGCGCACAGGATAATTAAAGCTTGTTAAAAAAATCATGTCCTTCTGAATTTTTTTAATCAAGAAAACTCGCGTTTTCAGCAAGTCATATCCAGACTTAAGCGGCGTCGCACACGAGCCTCGAACTCGCGACCTTTTGGAGCAGATTCAAGCGTTTTGAGGCACGAACTTCTTGTCTTGAAGGGAATATTGACCCTCTTTGATTAAAGTTCACCTGACTGTTAACGGAACTCACCGGTCCCGCTCAGCCTTGTGTCTTTACAGAGGCCCTGGTAGCCGTAACAGCTGGAAGTAAAGGCAGATAGTATTGCCGGCAACGACACGGGACACTGGAATGGCCATTTCTGCCCACAATACTATCTGCCTACTTCCAGCTCTTACAACCGTCAGGGTCTCTTTCAAGACCCAAGGCAGAGCCGGGCAGATGAGTTCCCTTAGTGGTCAGGTGAATATTCATCAATGAGTGTCAATACTCCCTGATCTAAATAGGCGA